ATCGCGACAGAATGAATGATGTCAAAGCCAGGAGTCAACCTTAAGTAGCGTTGACTCGGGGTCAATGCCCCCGGTGCAGCAGTCCTGTGCCGTCAGGATCTTGATGTTGCGACGGCCTGGATCGGTCTGCGACCGATTCTCCCTTGGTCCGATGTCTTGGCCTGGTACCTGCATACAAACACATGTGTGTATCTGTTTGTGGACTTGGGTACGCTACCTGCGACCCGACAGTTGACTTTGACCTTGAATTTCCCCAGTCCAGCGCTGGGTCTCACTGGCCAGACGCTGGGCTGGGCCGGGCAGTGCGTGGTCACACAGCCCGGCCTCTGCTGAGTGCGGGTTACTGCATTCCTGCCGACCCAATTTCGAGTTCCATCGCAGAAATAATTATCCTTTCAACCCACACTCATATGCAGAGACGATGTCAGGAACAGTTTCAAGGAGCTGTTGTTTGCTGAACCACCGATCCTCGGAAGGTTTTTGAGTCTTAAACCTTACCTTGAACTGCTTCTGCGGTCGTCCACGCCTTCCGGTGGAGAAGAACCCATGGTCTACAATCCGATCTACTTCATAACTTCCGTTCATCGAAGGTGGGATCATAGAAGGCCTGTTAGGAAACTGATCTCCCTCCACGTACGGTAGCAACTTAGAGGCATGGAACACACGGTAGGTTTTGAGATGCGGGGGAATATCAATTCTGTAGGACGGTCCGTCTGCATCTCCAATTACTTTGAGGACTTCCCAGGGCCCAAAGTAGACAGGCAGCAATTTCTGTGAAACATCTTCTTCCAAGGAGAACTCGTTAGACTTTACCCAAACCATGTCACCTATTTGAAAGTTAGCAGGTCTTTGATGTTTGTTGGCCTGGTTAATCATTTGTTCTTGTGCTTTCTTTAGGTTCTCCTTAACTTTCTGGATGTCTTCCTGGAACAGAACTGCATATTCACGAGTCCCTGGCGGTAGCCGTAAAAATTGGTCCCTGGTCAATACATCAATGGGACGTCGCGGCTTCCACCCTTTGTGTAGTGCGTTAGGAGTGCGTCCGGTTGCAGTGTGGACGCTGCTGTTGTATGCACTAGCTATTTTCGGTAAGTTCTCGTCCCAATCAATTTGATCGGGTCTAACATACATGCGCAAGAGCTGTTGACACAAGCGGTTCATTTGCTCGCTTTGCCCATTCGTTTCAGGATGTCGTCCTGACGACATGGTCAAACGAGTGCCGTATGCCTCCATCAGCTTTTGCCATGGCATACTTGTGAACCTCACATCCCTGTCAGATAGAATAGACAATGGGAATCCATACTCAGTTACCCATCGCATCTGAAACTTCTGGATCACAAGCTCAATTTTCGCTTCAGCAGGCAAAGGAATAAACATTGCATACTTAGAGAAACGATCGACTACAACCATCACTTGACTGTTGCCATTCTGACTCTTGACGAGGTTCATGAAGTCTATGGCGATAGACTCACCTGGTTCGCTGGGAATCGGTAAGGGCCTTAGTAGACCCAGAGGGTTCTCATGTGGTGGTTTGTTTCTCTGACATACCAGACAAGTACGCACGTACGTTAGTACATCTTCCTTTAATCCTTTCCAATCGAAGCGTTCTCTTACTTCTGAATAAGTTTTCTTGAAACCAAAATGTCCTGCAAAGTCATGGCATTCCCCAAAATCTTACTTCTGAATAAGTTCTCTTCTTTGTGAGGAATACACAATCGTTCAGTTTCGTCTATCAAGAAAAGCAATCCATTTGTCATCTTGCACTTGGGTAGCAGGGCAGGATCCTTAGTGACAAGGTCAATAATGGGTTTCCAGATAGGGTCATTAGCAAAACCTTGTCGAATCTGTTTCTGTACATTATTTCCAACATCCAAGTAAGAGACAATGGTTCCAAAGAAATCACTTCTCCTAGACAATGCATCTGCCACAACGTTAGACTTACCTTTGATTGTCTTTAACTCAAAGTCAAAGGTGTCGAGGAAAACAGACCATCGTACTAGTTTGTCAGAGAGTTTTGGTTGAGTCTTTATCCACTTCAGTGTCGAGTGATCTAAATAGACAGTGAAGTGTCTCCCTAACAAGTAGTATTTCCAGGATTTCAGTGCACAGACAAGCGCATACAATTCCCTTTCGTAAGTGGAGTCGGCGACCTTCTGAGTAGGAAGTCTGGCAGACATGAACTCAATAGGTCTGTAATCCTTACCATCGTCTTGCTGTAGAATTGCGCCAATTCCATACTTACTTGCGTCAGTGGTCACAATAAAGAGAAGATATGGGTCAGCGATTTTCAGAACAGGGTAGTGAGTCAGTGCATATTTTAACTTCCTCATTGATGACTCACAGTATTTGTCCCACAACCATATGGTTCCTTTCTTCAGGAGTCTTCTCATGGGAGCAGCAACTAAGGAGAAATTCCTAACAAACTTCCTATAATAATTGGCTAACCCAAGGAAGGACCTCAACTCAGTGATGGACTTTGGTTGTGGCCAATCTCTAATCGCTGAAATTTTCTTCGCTTCCGGTCTAAGTCCTTCTTCATTGACTATATGCCCTAAGTAGAGCACTTCAGGTTTTGCAAACTCAGACTTTCTTTGGGTTAAGTTTCAAATTACCTTTGCATAGCTTACCCAAGACGAGACGCAAGTGTCTCTCGTGATCCTCCAGCGTTTTGCTGTAGATTAGGATGTCATCGAGATACACAATTACAAACTGATCCAACCACTGTCGAAACAATTCGTTCATAGACCTTTGGAAGGTCGCAGGGGCATTCGTCAAACCGAAGGGCATGACCACAAACTCGTAGTGTCCACACCTGGTTCGAAAAGCAGTCTTGTGTTGATCTTCAGGCGCCACCTCGATTTGGTGGTACCCCGACTTCAGATCAATCTTGCTGAAGTACTTGCATCCCTGCAGCTGATCCAACAAGTCGTCAATTCGTGGTAGGGGTTCAACGTTTTTCACAGTGACGGAGTTCAACCCTCTATAGTCGATGCATAGACGCAACTCACCTTCCTTTTTGGGCACAAATAAGACAGGCGCTCCATAAGGTGAGGAACTAGGGCGAATCCATCCTTTGTCAGTTAATTCCTGGAGTTGCTTGCGCAATTCCTCAAGTTCCGTAGGCGACATTCGATAAATAGGGCCCTTGGGAGTCTTACTTCCAGGAATGATCTCGATAGTGTGCTTGATAGCACGCTCCGTGATCCCAGTAGGTTCCTGAGATAGATCTTTATACTCATCTAAGAGTTTTTGTATCGATGGAGGATAAGGTGTCGAAGACTCACCAACTTCCTTTACCAACACCATCATTACCTCCTGACCCAATTGCTTCTTCCTGACCATCGATCGAAAAGCTGGATAGCTCATACAACAGAAAGACAGAGTAGAGTCAGATCCAGACTTGTGATACAGTTTGATGGCCTCGAGTTCGGATTGTGCGTTTTTCAGGCGTACTTCCTTTTCCTTGAACTTGATTTCTGGGTTGGCTTCCTCGTGCCAATCCATTCCCAAAATCATATCAAAAGGCAAGTTCTTCTCAATTAGGAAGGATACTTCATGCACAATTTTCTTTCCAGTTTTAGTTCTGAACTTACATTTCACACGATCGACATAATGAGAGACAGTGATCGTGCTTTTATCAGCAAGAATAGACGTGATAGGTCGTGCTAAACATTTTACCTTCATTCCAAGATGAAGCTTGCGAATAACTCTCTCAGAAATGTAGGATCGTGTAGATCCTGAGTCTAGAAGTGCACCCGTCCGTTCGTGTGCGATCTCTACATCCGCGAGTAATAGTTCACCCTTAGACTTTGCTTTCTTTGCCCATGAGCTTCGTAGTGCCAGCAATGCATTACCAAGTTCATCAAAGGAGTCATCCAGAGAGACATAGCATAAGACAGGTTCAGGGTGATCTGGATGATGGGCCGGAGAACAACCATCCTTTGCCACGCGAGTCGAAGAAGTGAAAGGGTTAGTAGGCGCCTTACCTTTCTCATCGTCTGACTTTTTCAACTCAGTAGGAGCAGATGCTACTCCTACTGGCGGCTCGCTTTTGGGTGTCGGATGAGTGGACACCATGCAATGATGTATCCCTCCTTTCCACACTTCAAACATTGCGCGTTGTCCATCCTATCCTGCCAGGTCTTTTGGTCAATCTCCATTTTCTCCCACGGCTTGAATGTCGCAATACCTGGGTGCGCAGGAAACGAGCGTGGTTTCCTCCCTCGATACGGACCTCGTGGTCCTCCTTTGTTGACCACGGCAGCAGTGACGTCCCCCTTTCCGGACTCAATGTTGCTAGGAACTCCTTCCTCTAACGGTAGCTTTTCCACTGAGTCGTCGTCAAAGACGACAAGCATGTGGTCCTGACGCTTTTGGCGCCAAAGGACTCGCTTACCGTATCTTGCACCTGCTCTTGCATTACCACCAGATTTCACCACAGATGCATACGATTGTTTAACTTGAGAAGTCATTTGCTCTCTCTGGAGAGCCAGATCGCGAAACTGCCGGTACTTATACTTACCTGACTTTGACTCGGCCACTAACTGACTTCGTATGGGTTCAGGTATGGCCCGGGCATAAATATATAGAACCTGATCATCCTGCAGATTTAAGCCCGGTACTTGCAACAAGTGATCGACCTCGCGAGACAAAGCCTCCACAGACGTCCAGTGTTTCTGTCCAATCGTAGTAAGCTGGTCGAAGGCCTTATCGGTCGTCGTCTTATCAAGAAAGCGTTCCTTGATCTTATCAAGGAACTGCTTTAGAGTCATTGTTCCGGCCCACTTACCGATGTCGTCGAAACCTGCCGCGTTAGCCTCAGCTAAGACCCACTCCTTTGCTTCTCCTCCCAAGCAAGATGTAGAGAATGCGACCTGAGACTCTTCTGCAACAGGCGTCGTACTACAGTACGTTTGTATCTCGGCGATCCAAACAAGCAAATCTTCGTCTTTCTTGTTGCTAAACGTAAAAGGCAATCTCATCTTTGCCTTTTCCTTCTTCTTTGGCTTCTCACTTTTCTCTTCTTTGTCTTTCTTTCCCCCTGATGGGTGAGGACTGGATGGTGGACTTGATGGTGGCGTCGGTGGAGGAGGCCCAGATGACTCTCCCTCCTTAACTTTGACCCTGAGATCTTTCATAGCATCACTCATCAGTTTCTTCTCAGGTTGTTCCTTCCGAACCTCTTTTTCCTTTCCTTTGACCAAGTTAGTCACATTCTTCAATCCTACGGTCAATTCTTCCAACTTTGCTTCAAAATGGTCGAGCCTTGTCTCCAAGTGAGCAAGGTACTCAACCAGTTGGTTTAGTGCCACAACCTGTTCTTCCCCTGCCACAGTTACCACAGGCTGTCTGACTTCTTGTTCTCGTTTTGCTTGCTGTTCATCTTGTTCTTTTTTCTTTATCATTTCTGCCTTACGGGTTTTCTCTTTTTCAAGAGCTTCTTCCAATTGGCGGATGTTCTCATCAATTGTCTGTTCCGTGACCACCACATCATTTTTGGCATTTCTGCCATTTGCTATGTCTTCGAACTGCTGACAGATGTACGCATCCAGTGCTTTGCGGCACTGGATAATGAACTCCTGGATCTTCAATAGGTCGGTGCCAGTCTGAGCTGCATCCAGGTCTGCCTGGGCTTTCCGCAGATCAAACTGGGCCCACACATGTGACTCAGCATCTGTACCGGCATCGTGCAGCTCGGTGGCCAGAAGATTGAGCCGGCCAGACAACAGTTGTCGTCTCTGCTCTACCTGGGCCCTGGTACGAGGGTCAGGGAGCTGCTCAACACTCTGGCCCTCAGCTGGGGTCTGAACAATCCCTTCCTGAGACATTTCGGTATGGGGGATCTACCGCACAATAAACAAAAATAAACAATAATTAATTCCGCGGCCCCACAGATTGCAAACAGCAGATTACAGCAAGAGCAATGACAGCATAATAACTGAGGAGTATATTTTCAATTGTTTTTCTTTTCCTTTTCTTCGCTATTCTTAATTTCTAACTTAGTCTGATGACGTTATTTTGCAGGTACCGACTCAATCAAAGTGACCAGACACAACACGGGTGAGTATGCCAGCACAGGACAGACAAACGACACAAGGAGAACAAGCCAACATCAACAAACAATCAAGATGTCAGCATCAATAATCCCCTGCGTCAGTCCTCATTAAGCAATAGGCACCCCAGCACGACAGCTGGCACTACAGCCGTCCAATCAACTGTACCGCTGCTGTCAGCGGGATGATCTTTCACCCAGGCACATATGTGCCTATCACGTAACACCCTGGTAATGCCAACACAGCAAGCCTATTACACTCGCCACGTCAGCATTCAGAAAGTAATCAATGAAGGGGTGCCACGTCAGCCAATCTGGCCCGCTGATACAACTTCAATCATGCCGCGTGAACAGGGAACAATAACACGTCAATATTCCCCTGCCACGTCAACATCAAATAACCAAACAATAAGGGGGGGGGTGCCACATCAGCCAATCTGGTCTCCAATTAGTACTCCAACCAAGCCGCGTCAACAGGGAAATGACAACACATCAATATTCCCCCTGCCACGTCAGCAATCTTGGTGCCTGCTCAAGATCTCACCAATGCGATACTGCCATATCAGCAAGATCTTCTTCTTCAATCAAAGCTCGTCATCATCTTCGGCCCCGACGCGTTCAACTTCTACTAGGGATGAGTGCTTCGTGTCTAGACAATTGCGTTGATAAGAATCGCGTTTCAGCATTCTCTCTCTCCCACTATTTTTCCCGCCACGTCATCAGCGCGCATCCGGGTCTTGATCGAGCACGCGCATCAATCAACTCAAGCGCGGCCCGATGGGATCTTCGTCGTCATATACTCTTCGTCGTCGTGATGATCTTCCTCAAGGTTGTGATCACCTTCGTGATCTTGATCGTCGTCGTGATGTAAGTTCAACGTGCGCACGTGCGCGCGACACTCCTCCTTACACGTGTATGGAAGAACTGCTCCGATACCAAACTGTAATGAACCCAGGCGAGATAACACACATTGGACATGCAGATACTGTTCACAGCAATGCACGAGCATCAGCGCTCGTGCAGTACAAGTCCCGTGGCTCAATGACAAAGCAACTCGAGTAATCCAATCTTGTTGATGAATAATGTCGAACAGA